GCCTTTTATGCCTAACTGTTTCAATGTAGATATGGTTTAGTTAACTATGTATTGTATTTTTAGGCATCACTTGTTTGCTACTTAAACACATTTTCCCAATCGATTTGCAATTTACACCCCTTTTTCCCACTATTTTCCTTAAGTTCATATAAAATACATTATACTTAATCTAATATAAAAGAGAGATTTTTAGCCAAACAATATGTTAAACAAAAATTTTATGATACATTTATTTCATCGTTTTAAAATTGTTGTGCTATTAATATATAATAGCATATGTGATCATAAAATGATTGTTTTTTGATCTTAACTAATAATTTGTATTTTGTAATCATATTAAATATAAATACAAATGTATTGTCAGAACTATTGACGAGACTATTGGATAAAAACATATGTTTTGACAAAAGATTTTATATTTTCTTAGAAAGATTAGCGGCAAAAATAAATTGCTTTTTGACACCAAAGGTTATATACAGTATAAAAACAATGTATTTTTGATATATACTTTATGCTTGGATTGTGAAATATTTGATTAATTTTGGGATTAATGTCCAGTCAGCCGATGAATGTAAGAGAGAGAGAGAAAAAAAAGAGAAAAATTGAGTGGAAAGGGATAGAAAATATGGCTGTGCCAGTCAATCGTATATTTCATATGGTTTATGCTATTGTATATAATGAACTGTAATATGAATTTCTGATAACTCATAATATCGTATCATTTGCACTGTTGTAATGGCGTTTGCGTTCATTTTTTACTGTATTTTCGGATTAACCTCAAACTTCTTAGCGCACGGGGAGGTCTTTTCTCAGATAAATGTATTTTATAGATACGGTGTTTACTAGTAGTGTATATAAGGTATAGTATATTGCTATCACTAAGTGAGTTATGCACTGCTTTTTACATACAATTTTCGGTGCCAAAGAAGAAATGACATCATTTATATGATCCCAATTCCTCTCTCTCTCTCTCTCTCTCTCTCTCTCTCTCTCTCTCTCTCTTTCTTTCTTTCTCTTTTCTCTCCCGTTTCTAAGTTAACGTCACCTTTAAAAAGTTAAAAGTGATGATCGATTGAATACATGTCTAACACATACACAGCTATTGAAAAATGTTGTTTTGTTATTCAAAAATATTTGTGACATATTTGGCACAACCTTACTATTTAGGCATAACTATCATAAACATAGTGTTCATACATATAGTTATATATTTAATATCACAGGATCTCAGTCCTTGTCTTATGCCATAAGAATTGTGTGATATTTTGTTTACTGAAATATTAGATATTATTTTTGTTATATAAGACAATGGCCTCAATGGACATTAATATGGATTTATATTTATAAATATAAGTCTAGATATAAAGTTATAGTACAATACAATACAGACATACATATTGTAAGTCATTTGTTGCAATGAATAACAATAAGTTTAGTGAGTTTTGTCACCAAAAAATGTAATAAACTTTTATAAAAATCTTTTTTATGTGTTTCATACAAATTGTGTTTATAGTAGGACTGGTTTGAAACTAAAACATTAATATCATTTTACTTTTGGTTTTAGGTTTATATTAGCAAACAGAAAACGGGTCAGACATCCAATGACATCAATAATATGTCACTAAAGAGAGTGCTATTAAACCATACACTCCTTTACTATATTGATATCACTTATGCTTTATTATATATACAGTACTTTATATGGAGTAGTAGTTGTGTACACATAAGAAATATGTGCAAACTTTTAAAGCCCATTATTAATTAACATTTTAATGGACTAAATACATAATAAATACTGTATATTGAGTATAGTTTATAATGTGTGTACAAACATAACTCTATTTTATAAATATACAAAAGAGAGAGAGAGAGAGAGAGAGAGAGAGAGAGAGAGAGAGAGAGTAGTCTATCATTTATGTCAAAAGCGAATGCAAATTATAAGACACACACACACACAGTGAAAAATTTTGTATTTGTGTGTGTGATAGTAGTAGTAGTAGTAGTAGTAGTAGTAGTAGTCTATTGAGACATGAGATTGGCAGTTGGAAGTCTATATTTTAATTGTCATCCCTGTCCTCCCTGTTCTCTCTGTTCATTCTCTAGTGATTTTGTTGATATATCTCAGTATTATTATTAATTCAATTCTCAAATGAAAAATTGCATTTATTTTGAAATGTGAAAAAAGCATACATAAAAATTTTAAATAAATTTTTATATAATATAAATAAATATATGATATAAAACTACATTATTATGAAATGTTTATTGAATACAATTTATTTTGTTTTTTTAATATAGTAAATGTTTGATAGGAAATCATATTTTTTGTTTTACATTTTTTGTTGTATCACAAAAATTACTATTTGAATTATTTTTGGTAAATATATTAAAATTTGGTAATATTATGCCATTACTTGACTTATCTACAGTATTGTATTATATATATTATACAATACTATTATTCAAATCAAAAATAAAAATCTATAAAAGTATAAGTAATAAAATAATATTTTTAAGAACTTTAATGAAAATGACATAACATTAATTTTATAAATTAAATTATATTTATTTAAAAATATAATAAAAATTTTTTAAAAACTCAGATAACAGATAAATTTTTTATTTTTATTATCTGTTTATGAAAATTATATTTACTGAATATCTGTAATTTAATGACTTTCTATAGTGATTTAAAATTTTCAAAAAAAAGAAAAAAATTATTATATTTTTATTAATATTATCATAGAATTCTTATTATGTTATATAATATGATTAAAAATATAATTTTGAATATAATAAAAAAGAGTTTATCATTAACTATAAATTAAATTACAATAAAAATAAATTTTCAAAAATTTTAATAGTTGTTTTGTACTATAAAACATTTTGTTATATTATATGAGTTATTATAAAGTAAAAATTATAATAATTCAATTTTCTGAAATTAATGTATATAATAATAATTAGTACAGTATATACTGTACATTCAATAAAACGTAATAATTAATAAAATTAAGAAAACATAATAATAGTAATAGTTTAATATTATTATAAAATTTTCATAAAATTTATTTAATTTATTTTTTATATATTTAATAAAATTTTGTATTGTACTTATAAAACTACTTTCGATTGAATATTTTATTTTCTAATAATGTTTGTCATCTATTATTATTATAAATTTATATACATACGAAAATTTTGTTACAAATTTAAGTGTAAATAAAAATTGAGGAAACATAGGATGACAAACAAAATCATATGCAAAACATTGAATATTCTACTGAAATACATATCACATGAAACATCAAAACTAATCATTTATTAAATCTATTGAAATTCATGCATATATTTTAAATTCAAGTTCCTCTCTCTCTCTCTCTCTCTCTCTCTCTCTCTCTTTCTCTCTCAGATTTCTAACATAAATAATGCAAAAGTCATGTTATTTAAATGCATTTCTATTGAGAAGTGAGAATATCTAATATAAGTACCATTAAATTTATTTAAGAGAAGTTTCAAACAAACATATACTCAGTAACACACACATCATAGATATTACTAATTTAAATATATTTTATATGCAAAAAATAAAGTATATGAAATTTTTTGTAATATTTGTGGCTAATGATAGACGTACTCTAGAAAGCAAGTGATGTCAGCAAATATATACAGTATATACTGTAATAATATTATAAATATATGAATTGTAATATTGCATAACTAGTAAAATATTATATACACTATAATGTTAACTTAACATAATTGAAATTAATTATAATTATCATAACCTATTAGTGCATTAATGTATTCAAATATACTCTATTATAATTTATTTAATATAGAAATTATTTTAGGCTAAATATATTTTAACAATATTGTAATGTACATAATAAGTAGCAAATGTTGTCTGTACTCAGAAAATTGTTAATAATTAAATAAACTACACTTTTGGCAAACATTATTTTGACGATTGGAAATTAATTTTATATTAGTTTTTTATTTCTCTCTCTCTCTCTCTCTCTCTCTCTTTCTTTCTCTTTTACTAACTTTCTTCAATTATCTGCTAAGTAACGAGTAATATACCGGTATATATATAAAGTATGTTTGCTTAATGTTTATGTTGTTTTACTAATATAAATAATATTTTCAATCTGACTCTCAGATTTCAATCATTTGTCAATAAATAGAAAATAATATTTGCTTTTAAATACAATATTTATAAGACAAGAGTTTGGAATTTTAGTCTTCAATTGTGTAATCGATATAACAGAAGATTTCAAATTAAATGATTTTTTTGCAATTTATTTGTTATAACAAAAAATAATACATTTCTACTTTTTAGAAAACATTCCGCTACTAATATACAAATAATTAATAATTATTTGTTATTACTCAAAATTAATTATTTTGTTATTAATATTATATATATATATATATATACACACTAAGTTATAGTTTTTTTTAATAGTAAAACATAAATAAATTAATAAAAACTAAGTTAAATCTCAATTTTCCAACCATTAAATTTAGTTTCTCATTATTGATTAAACATTTATATACTGTTTTTAAATTTTAAATATATTACATTATACATATAATTTTTAATATTATACAAACATGCAATATATATATATATTTAAATTAAAGTATCATTGAATTATTTATATAATAAATTTTGGATTGCACATATACTGTGTTTAATATGTAAAACTATAATAAAAAAAATAAAAAACGATTTTTAATATAAACTACTTTTATTTAATATCAATAGTTCAAAGCATTTCAATACAGTAGTATTCAATTGTATTGAGTGACGACAAGTTTGATACACTTTTATATATAATATTAAGCCATTTGAATGACATGTTGATTAAAAATATGTATATTTGTGTTAAATAAAAGTTTAATTACAGTCTATATGTACTGTACTTTACTATAGCTATACTATAGCTAATGTCATTGCTGTAAAATATAAAGTGAATGACATAATGTTTGCCTACCTGTCCATACAATGGCTAAACAGTTGAATAATAGGAGCAAATTGTAAGCTCTAATCGTATGCGATGTCATCATAGCTGTGGACATGTATTTGCTGCCAGTGCTTGATTGACAACTGGTGACCGATTCATATCTATAATTTCAATAATAAAAGATATCAATTGATATGTAAAATTTCTTTACATAAAGTTTAAATAAAGTTATTTGAAACTAATATGAATAACATATATATATATTGTAGTTTATAAAATATAAAATAAATTGATTTAAACTTATACTTATTATAATAAAAAAATAAAGTTTAATATGTGTTTGACAGTTTTATATGTTGTATAAAAAAATAAACTTCAAAAACATTAAAGTTTAGTCCAAAAAAAATTATTTTCAATTTAAGCCATAGATAGGTAGTAGTGGTTGTGGTGATAGTTATGTGCATTACATTCAAGTAGTAGTAGTAGTTGTTGTGAATCATTACTTAGATGAGACATATATTTGTTATGTTATGTAATATAAAAGCAGATAAAGTAATGGTATGAGTAGTAAAGTGTTATATAAAAGTAGTGCAATATATACACACAGTGTGTGTGAATTTGGTGCCGATGTCAGTGAAAATTTGGTGTTTGACACACAATGCCTAACGGTTTCACTTTTCAAATATTGTCACAAATGCATTAAAATTGTTTTTTGCTGTCTTTAAAATCTGACACAAACCTTCCTAAAGGCATTAACAGGCATTATAAGTATCCAATAGTTTTATATATATATTATATATTGAATAAATACCCATATTATATGGTGTATATATATATATATAATTTATATATATACTGCATAATATATAAACAATAACACTGTTAATAAGTGTCTCAAATGTGTTTATAATGAACACAAATTTTCACATATAATAGTTTTTTATTTGTATTTTACATTTTAAAATAAATAACTCTTTACAATATTTTCTCATAGAATATAGCGATTAATAGATTGTATTTAATGACTAAAGCCCTTTAAAATTAAATTTTAGACTAAATCTTGCGTAATATATAAATTATAATGATATATATATATGATATAATGGTATATACAGTATATTATGTGAACAATAGTTAATCCATAGGATTATATATCAAATGAATTATTACAATATAAAATAACTGTATATATTTAATCAGGGTTGCGATTTGGGGGTAGAGGTAAGGTCGGCTTATCGCCAGAGAGCAAGATATATGTGATTTAACCCCTCTCCCAGACTTTTTGTGAAATTTGAAATATTGTTATTAAAAACGATGATAAACAGTACCCCAAGATTTTTTTTTGGAGATTTTATGTTAGTTGACTCCCTAACCAGTATTAGACCAAAAAAAGTTGATCAACCCTTGTAGGTATTATATTAATTAATTAAATTATTGATTAAGATTATTGATTCACTTTAATGAAACATTAAAAAATTATTTTACGCAAATATGATACTCTATATTGTTTTATAAATAAAATACGTATAAATCTAAATTAATGATCATTTTTAGAAAACAGTATAATAAAACCTAATATTTAATTATTTACTAAATGGGTTTACCCTAAAAAATAAATAAATTGCTTTTTAATTTATTAATACTTTATAAACTTTATTTAATACTTTATAAAACTGTATCTAAATTATATATTAATTTTTAATTTACAAATAACCGTATATTACAAAATATTGTAACAATTATACACAATCTGCTTTAATATAATAATACTATAAGTGTATATATACTTTATATTTTTATGGTTATAATATTAATGATTCATATGTTATGTCCATGATAATTAATTAAAAATTTGCCGCATCATTAATATTAAATTTAATTAATATGCGTTATGAAGAGTACTTATTTTGAATTATATTTAGTTAAACAACTGTATGTTTTAAATATGTATATTATTTATGTACTTATAATATGATATATAAATTTATTGTTTAAAATATAGTATGTATATTAATATAGTGTATATATATATATATATTAATAATAATTATTATTTGTTATGTTAATTTAATTAAACAACTAAATATTAATAATATAAATTATAATCGAAAATAATATTAAAATTAATTAGTGTATTGAATGTGTAAACGTTACAAAAAACTACTGTATAATTTTATATAATTTTATACTAGAGTATCACAAATGGTGTTTACTATTTCCGGTTTATTGTACAGTATTTAACCCGATATATAAACTAAGTTTGTTTGTATGTGTAATGTTTAGTAGCTTTTAGTCTGATGGACACTAAAACAATAAATGTTAGCAAAAGTCGAAAATTAGCTAAAAATTGATTGAAAACAACAAACAAAATATACCAAAAATAGCTCAATTGAAACAATACTCTAGTAATACATGTTTATTTCAAAATGAGAAATAATGAGTCAGTCATGCGTTGAGATTGAAATTTGATAACAAACACAATACAAACTAGACTTTTGATATTTTACCCGAAAATATTTATATCTACCATTCCTTTATCTAATCTACTGTATATTCGTCCAATACTTTATATATTTTTATATCTATCAAATAATTCATATGATATAAACACAGATTATATTATATTTACTAAAGTAGTATTTTTTACTTAATAAATCTATTACTAAAAAATTGTAGACAATTGTCTGCTAAAAATAATTACAATGTTTTTATATAACTTTTATTTTGTTATAAAGTATAAAGTTTTAAACAAAATTTGTTTCTATTGTATCAGTTGAATGCTATAAGTTAAACCCAACTTAGATCCCATTTTTCAATACATCCCGTTTCTGACGGCTACCAAACACATGGATCGCATTGAGATTCATGTCTACTCAGAGCTGTATGTTTAATAAAAAACTTGAAATTAAGATATGTGTGTAAAGCACTGGTATATTACAGTGAAGCCCATAATTTATTTATTCTAATAGCATGTTGTCTATAGAAAAACAGAATATTCTGGTATATATATTGTAGTGATTTGTGAGTTGAGTTACATGTTGTTGTATGTGTGCACTGTTATTATGCATTGTAATGATAATCCCATTTATATACAAAAATATATAATGTTGTTTTAGTATAAATAGTAAAGCCCATGAAAATTATAACAAAAAATCAAATTTAAATGCGTTGATATAAAACATATTGTAATGCAAATAATTGACTTAACAATAACATCAAAGTAAAAGCCAATTCAATGACAAAACTTAAAAACTTTATATTAAGTCCAATATTAGTATTGTTGTGTTAATATATATAATTCACTATAATATATGCCTTTTAATCATATAGTGTTTAAAATCTACTTATAGTATGGAATCTATAGTAAGGAATTGATGCCATAATCCGAGTGACACTCACATGGGATCGACATTCAAACGCCAATCACTACTGAATATCCATCTTTCAAATCAAGTTACTTCTAGCGAACAAATATTTAGTGGCAATACATGCGAGTCCTTTATATACAGTACTGTATATTATCAGAAACTACCAGTGCTTATGTGTTGTCTACTTTCAACTATCAGTTGTGTTTCGCATATGACTTAACCCCAGGACGCTATTCATTCTTATATGACATCATGTGTTTGATGTGTTGACCCATTTTAATGGAGACTACTATTACTTTGTATAATACTGTATATACTCTCTATAGATAAAACTTGTAGTTTATATTACATTAAAAATAAAACAGTGGTTATGTTTGTACTCGTAAAGTACAACTTATATAGTATATAAAAACAAGTAAATACAAATTACTATATTATATTATATAACTTTATTATTTACTAATTTGGACTAAAAAGATCATTTTTTCATAGCATTTGTTTATATTTTAAATTAATAATAATTGTTTTCAAGTAAACATTATGAAAAGATTAAGTTTCACTTAATTGATATTTCTCTGAATGATATTTTTGCTGTAAATACAGTAAATATATTGTAATAACATAATACTGACCAAATATATTGTCTTTTATTAATAATTTTGTATTATTATTGCACATATGATATAAATTCCTTTCTATTGAATTTTATATAAATAGATTACCAGATAAAATGCAATTAAAAAGTTATTATACCGTTATATAAACAGTAATATTATTTATGAACAAAATATTGTATTAGAAATATAATAAATTTTATTATTTTAAGTCTATATGTTAATGTGTTAAGCGATTTATATCGTATATACATAAATAAAACAAAATATTTTTAAAACACAAAACATTTATTTATTTTGTATTAATATAAAAACCTATTATTATATTATAAAGAAATTTTTTAATACTCGATATTTAGCTTTAAATATTCAGTCCTAACCGTAATATCTACTGATATAATAAAAAATATTTGTATATTTTTCATAACAATTGCTATGAAAAAATATTTGTTGTTGTCGTTGAAAAAGTTTAAATAAATATCTCACTTATATTTTTTGAGTACTAATATTATGAGACCATTTTGCATGAAAAATAGCATAAATGCTATCAAATAAATAGCTGTGACTTTTTTATATAAAAATACAAACACAAACATTTATATGTGAAAATAGCCATATGATATTTAATCTGCTATATATTAAATAAATAACAACAATATGTACAGTACAGTAAATATTTTGCATTTAACGTTATAATAAATACTCAAAGAAAAAGATCATAATTTAACCTAAAGTCAAAATAAAATCATATACATATAAAACTTGATTATTTACAGTTTACTATAAAATTTATAAATAAAATATATCTCTGAGAATATACTGTATTTATTATTATACAGTTATAAATAATATATTAATAACAATCGTTTGAATTTAATTATTTATATGTCATAAAATAGTTTTCCCAACAAAATATCATTTTTAAGACGTTTGCAACAATTTATTATTATTTTTTTGCTTAATTTATTTATTTCCCTTTTTTTGTTATATTTTTTATTTTAAAGTATTTTTCTTAAAGAATTATAATATGCTATGAATAGTACACTAAACAGTAGATATAGTAATACAAAAGTTATAAATACTATATCTTTTTTGCCTTTTCTTGATTTTCAT